GTGGTGGGGGGCTCCTGGGTGGCAGTGGTGGGGGGCTGCTGGGTGGTAGTGGTAGCAGTGGCGGGGGGCTGTTGGGTGGCAGCGGTGGTGGGTTGCTGGGTGGCAGTGGTGGTGGTCTCTTGGGTGGCAGTGGTGGTCTCTTGGGTGGTGGCCGACACCGTTACGACGACTACAGGAGCGCTGAATTCCCTCGAGGTGTCGGTGGCGTGCCCTACAATGACTTCCACGTCCGAGATCCCCCCCTCAAATACACCAATGGCAACCAGCTTGGTGGTAATTACAAGTATGGCCACATCAATGCCAACGACAACACTGCTCAGTTGGGGGGCAAGTACCGCTACGGTGAGATCATTGAGTCTGATGGCAGCCTCAGGGACCAATCTCTCCGAAGCGGCGAGAATTCATACGGTGGCCTCAGGGGCCATGGGCGGTATAGGTCAGCTAAAGATTCGGCAACCGTGGGCAGGCTTCACCGGCGAGAGCTACGTCCTGGAGAACTTCCACCTGGTCTGGCCACCGGGGCACTGGGCCCAGGTGGTTTGCTGGGCAATGGTGGCATGTTGGCGGCCGATGGCATCTTGTCGGGTCAAGGCGGCCTGCTCGGCGGAGGTGGTCTCCTTGGAGATGGAGGACTTCTCGGAGGAGGAGGCGTCCTGGGTGTGCTTGGCGAGGGCGGCATTCTCAGCACCGTGCAGGGCATCACAGGGTAAGGAGAGGCCGGGCTCTCTCAACCAATCCCCTGACAACCCCACAAACAGGAGTGACCTCCCCCAGAGACCTGGGCTCCTCATACTTGAGGGTTCGGTCCGAGGACAGGACTTCTTGAAATCCCAAGTTGTGTGGTTTGGGGTCTTGTCATTAAACAGTCCTGCATTTGAGTCCCAGCTCAACCTTTTATATTTGGGTGTGACTTGTAGTCATTTTCTTCACCTCCCTGAGCTTCGGTTTCCCTTATCTGTAGAGTGGTGATCCTACGACAGTTTAAAGTGGAAAAGAGTCCAGGGATTTAGGATTATACATATACGTTACAATACCAGCGACGCCCAGCTAGCTCTTCGTAGTCACTGTTTAATGCAACAAATATTTAGAGCCCTTACTAGTGCCAGATACCATATTAGTGTTAGGGACACGACCCCACAGTTAGCCAAGAAGAAACACATTTCTTGTCCTTAGCTTGCAGGCTGGTGGGGTGAAGAAGCCTGAACGTAATCACACAGTTACAACTGTGCTGGGAAGCCCACGGAGAAATGAGGGTGTGTGGAGTGGGGGAGACCTGGGGCACTTCCTGGAGGAAGAAGACCTTGAGCTGAAAGCTGAGGTGTCTAGGAGCGAGCTAGGCAGGGACCAGAAGAAGCAAAGGCATCTCTGCAGGAGGAGAACCTCAAGGAAACACCCAGAAATGTAAACAGCAGGTCTCTGGGCCAAGGCGCTCTTGGCCTCTCTCCTCCTCTCTGCATTTTCCACGTCCCCAACCCTTCAGAGTCAGGAGGGCTGAGGGGTGCAGAGAAGGAGGCGCGGAGAACACCCC